CCAGAAGAAGAAGAAGAAGAAGAAGAAGAAGAAGAAGAAGAAGAAGAAGAAGAAGAAGAAGAAGAAGAAGAAGAAGAAGAAGAAGAAGAAGAAGAAGAAATACCAGCATCAATGACATCATCTGCTATAAATACTTAAATGATTGTATTGGTCCCGTTTATGAATCAGCATGCTAAAGTAGTCCACAAAATTCAATGACTATCATACACCTCTATAGTAATTGACGTGGCTGCGATAAATACTGTGCGGAGAGTCAATCAGAATGTAGCTGTCAGTGAAAGATATCACATAGATAATATTCCCGTGAGACCAAAGATTCTCTACTACCAAGATGTTTCAATTGCCCTATCTCGCGTCCGCGCGACTCTGTGTTCGCCAGCGCGTGGCGGTCAGTGATACTAGTGTAAACAAACGTTCCAGCGCTCTTGAAGGGGAGAAAGGGGGAGAGAGAGAGGGGGGAGGGAGAGAGTGTTGCTTTATTAAGTTTTTTTCACTGTCATAGCAAAAGTCATTATTTGTCTTGTATCTGTAATCAATATGATGTCGACCAGTGATAACGTGCTAGACTAACTACATTACATGTACGACACTACATGTATAACCATCGGTGCGACTTGGACAGCAAACTATATGAATTTTTGTTTGTTGATTTTCAGTTTTCTTTTCTTCCTTTTCACCCCTCCCACCCCCAAGCCTTCTTCCTTTTTTCCCTTTAGTTCTTTTTTTTTTTTGTGTTAATTTGTGTTATCTTTAAACAATCTCAGCTATTCTCGTACCATAAATTTAGCCTGTGCCATTCTGTACCTCCTCTTTTCCTCCCCAAACAAAGTTGCACACACACACACACACACACACACACACACACACACACACACTAATCCTTACTCTCGTCATGTTTCTTCTACTTCTTTTGTATGACACTCTTGTGACTCGCTGTTTCCGGGGTGCCTTGATAGTCGAAGCAGACTTTGTGCTGTTGAAGCTAGAGAGGTGAGCGGAGTAAGTCTGATTCCCTGAAAGTTAAAAAGTTTAAGGCATAGAGTTATCTCCTTTTATACTATAGTGTACATCTATGGTGTAAGGACTTCTCTGTTGACATTCACCCCTTGGCGTTCATATGACCTTATGCAGTTGCGAGCGCCGTAAAACCTCTACTAAAACAAAACACACTCACACAGACACACACATACACACACACACGCACAC